GAAGTTGAATTATGATTTCAAAACTATTTGGAAAGAGTATTTAAAAATGCTATATAAAACAATGTCATAGTCACCAAGTTAACCACTAAATAAAGGCATGAAAATGTACAACTGAATTATATTTATCAGGATGAATATGCAAAAATATTTACCAACTCCTATGATTTCATACAGTCATTCCCGTATAATTCATACAAATGAAAAAACGCTATGTCGCCAATACATTTCAAAGCTATGGTTACTGATATTCAAATTATTCCTTGACCCTTTATGTTAACATATTTTGTCACACAAAAAAAAACATTAGCTGGTATATTTTTTGATATTTTTTCTCCGAGTATTTACACAAAAGGAAGCCCGGAATTGTGTAAAAGGCGATGTCGCCATAGTATACCTTGCAGTTTGAATGTACATTACCTGGTCGCATTTTGTTCTAAACAAACAAAATTTGTTTTAATTAATGAGGAAACATGTCAAAATCAAATAAATGAAACTTTCATTGATAAACGAATAACGATTTTTAAACAAACCTTTGATCATCGCTGTCGCCAAATTTCACCTAACCTACCGTAACATTGTTTGAATATTTTTTAAGATAATACAATATATCGTTAGTGCAGCTAAAACTGTGTTTTTGTGTCTAATATATATTAAAACTTTAGCACAGAATCTTTTTTAGGCAAATCAATAAAACCGTGTTCAAAATTTTTAAAAATATGGATTTTTTATAATGTCGCATATAAGAACCTAACCTACGTGACGGTGATTGTGAAAAAACAGAGGCTATGTGAAGTACTATTTCAATGCAGTTGATTGACACCAGTGGGTATGTCTATTAAAAAAAAACAAATGTAAGGAAAGTTAAACAACAATTCAGAAATAAAGAAATTATTAATGGTTCTAACCTCCGTAACCTCTAACCTCCGTAACGGAAATTCAACAAAATCTGACGTGTGCATCATTTCAGGTGTTTAAATCTACCAGATAATGCTGGAAGTTTACTCTTTAAGTTGACAACAGATTGGAATATAAAAATCATAATGCGTTTAAAGCATAAAATAAAGGTATTTTTGAAAATATTATGGTAAAAATGGCCTTAATTTAGATGTTTTTTGCATATTACAAATAAAAATGATAGTGTTTTTTTTTTCGTTTTGTAAATGTCTAATATTCCGTAATGTGTATGGGCACAAAAAGGTCACCCTATGTGAACTATCAGCGGTGTACAGGAAAATTATACTCGTTTATACGTAAAACCAGCGATGTTACGGATGTTGGGTTTTTCTGCAAAAAATGGATTTTTGTGGTTTTAAGTGAATTTTTCATATATTATGATATATTGAATAAGTTTTCATGAAAAATTATGTTGATGTGTGACAGTCACTTCACAATGATTCAATAAATCACTTCATTATTACAAGTTTCAGTAAGGTATTTCGTAACGGAGGTTACAATTATTTGTTTTGTTTTTTTAAATTTAAATGTTTTTGCCTAAAAAACGTTAATACAGATATTTTTTATCCTTTTGTAACAAATAAACATTGTTTTCCAACTGTTTTTTTTTTATTTAAATTCACAATTAGGTTTAACGCATTCACACCGATTGTTCGAAACGAAGGTTGTATATTTTGTAACGGAGGTTATAGAAGTTTAAATCTTCACTTTCACATTTGCAGTTAAAAAGACAATAATATATTAATAAATATTTGATTAAGTTGATAGACCCTTAATAATGCTGAGCGACATAAGTTTGTAAAGCCAATAGGAAGTCTAAAATTCGGTTTACTCTTTTTGTAAATATTCAGAATAACCTCCTTAACGAAACACACTTTTTGGTAAATTGCTCTAAAAAAGAGGGGAAAACTGTTTAGTTCTTCTCTTGATTGTGTAAAAACATTCTCTTTAAAGTGTGTTTGACACGTTTTACAAAGTATTTTTATCTCTTAATCTTCAAAACGAGTTTGTGTAACCTCCGTTACAATTTTAGAGCAATTTGTATATCAACTTTTCTTTAAAAAGTGGTCAATTTATAATTAGATAAGGTCTTTAATTTTCAAGATATATCCTTTTATTTTTCAAATCAAGTGATGCAAGTAATGTAATAATCTGTTTGCTTGGCAATATTCCTACTGGAAAATAGTGTTTATTTTATTGTCCAAAAATTCCGTTATCTGGATTTACACATATTTAGTAAATATTTTTTATGTTTGCAGTTCAGAATTTCTTCTGTCATAATTTAGTAGTATATTGATAAAGCTTCGAAGTTCAATAAAAATTAAAACATGAACAAAGACTTTAAAAACTTTACAGCTGCTTTTTCTGAGTTATAACCTCCGTAACGGAGTTCTTGCATGTGGTGAGTTGGAATAGCCATAAAAACTAAACGAAGAAAGATTAACGTGTAAAATTTCATTTTATTAACAAAGGATGTTTACTTTATCAATCAAACACAAAATTATATCATTGCTTTTAAATTCGTTTTTCAATACTATGGACTTGGTAAATGTATGAATTATATGGGAATGACTGCATAATGGCATAAAGTTAACATAGGAACATAGATGAATTGTTTATCAGATCAAGACTCAAATCAAATAAAATGCAGTGAAATTGAATGATGTGTTCACTAGGTGGGCCCCTCATCTGCTCATGAGGCTGGCCTTTCCATGTATTACGTACCTGAAATTCAACATACAGATTCGTTTGTTCGTTGTTTACCGTCCCTTTCGAAAATTTATTCACTCACATGGAGACACCAAGACACCCCCAAAACTCTTAATTAGTCATTGTAAATTTTATTATCAAATTGTTTCAAGAGTGAAGAATTCTAGTTAGCAAAAGGCATAAGATTGAGACATCGCCGTTGTTTTATGAAGAACTTCTCTGTAATCACATCTGGGCGCTATTTTGTCTCCATCAAATGCTTGAAAATCACAGGAGAACAATGTCGGTCGTTCTGATAAAAACTGATTTTGATGAAATTGTATTTTATAAAACTTGGTTGACAATAAAAAAAAATTTGAATCATCTTATTTAAAAAAATCTTTTCAGTCGGCGCGTTTTAGTTGGGTCGGTCGCGTTAGGGGAAACAAAGGTATTTTTTATTTTGGCCTAAATTTATGTTTCGTAATTTCTATATATTTTTCTTTAAATAATGAAAAAAAATTCAAAATTTGATATTTTCCCAAAATCCCTGGTAATGCATGCTGATTTTTGTTTCTATGGACCTCTGGTGGCGCTATAATCTTAAATTTAGAAAATACTGTATCTTGAAAAATTATCTGTGTAGGTAAGGTACCTTGCGTATGTCCTTAATAAAAGCTTAACACACATAAAAAATAATTTCACTAAACCAAATTTGAAATTCAGAATTCGTTAAAATTATGAACAAAACTAAGTACAATCGGCAGCAAAAGATGTGTCCTTCTTTGACATTTTAGAACAAGAGGCCCATGGGCCACATCGCTCACCTGAGCAGCTTTGACCATTCTGTTCATTACCAGATTTCCCCTTTGTAATACATAATGCATCCCCAACTTACCCCACTGATCATAATTTAGACATTTTGAAGTCTAAACTACCCAATGATCCTTCCATGTGCACGTAAGTTTCAGCTTTTCTGGCCCAGTGGTTCTTGAGAAGAAGATTTTCAAAGATTTTTCCTATATATTTCTATGTAAAACTTTGATTCCCCTTTGTGGCCCCGCCCTTCCTCCGGGGGTCAAGATTTGAACAATTTAGAATCTACACTATACCAGGATGCTTCCACATAAGTTTCAGCTTTTCTGGCCCAGTGGTTCTTGAGAAGAAGATTTTCAAAGATTTTTCCTATATATTTCTATGTAAAACTTTGATTCCCCTTTGTGGCCCCGCCCTTCCTCCGGGGGTCATGATTTGAACAATTTAGAATCTACACTATACCAGGATGCTTCCACATAAGTTTCAGCTTTTCTGGCCCAGTGGTTCTTGAGAAGAAGATTTTTAAAGATTTTTCCTATATATTTCTATGTAAAACTTTGATTCCCCTTTGTGGCCCCGCCCTTCCCCCGGGGGTCATGATTTGAACAATTTAGAATCTACACTATACCAGGATGCTTCCACATAAGTTTCAGCTTTTCTGGCCCAGTGGTTCTTGAGAAGAAGATTTTCAAAGATTTTTCCTATATATTTCTATGTAAAACTTTGATTCCCCTTTGTGGCCCCGCCCTTCCTCCGGGGGTCATGATTTGAACAATTTAGAATCTACACTATACCCGGATGCTTCCACATAAGTTTCAGCTTTTCTGGCCAAGTGGTTCTTGAGAAGAAGATTTTTTAATGACCCCACCCTATTTTTGTCTTTTCTTGATTATCTCCCCTTGTGAGGGGACTTGGCCCTTTATTTTAACTACCGTATAAGTAGAATTTTTAGCGAGGATTTAATTTTGGCATTATTAGCGAGGGTGCTGACATCGCTAAAATTGAATATCGCTAAAAATTAATTGCGTATTATTTGCAATAGTTTCTTTAGTTAGCTTTTTTAAATCGCTAAATATACTTCTTGCTAAAAATAAAATACCATATTTCTGGTAGAAATCGCTAAATTTGCGTCTCGCTAAAATTTCCACTTATACGGTATTTAAATTCCCCTTCACCCAAGGATACTTTGTACTAAGTTTGGTCAAAATTGGCCCAGTGGTTCTTGAGAAGAAGTCGAAAATGTGAAAAGTTTACAGACGGACGGACAGACAGACGGACAGACGACGGACAAAATGTGATCAGAAAAGCTCACTTGAGCATTTGGCTCAGGTGAGCTAAAAAAAAATAATCCTGAGCAAAAATATGTAATCAAGTTTCCAAATTCATTCATTTACTCTTTGACCTCGGCAATAATCGTTGAAGAATCTATAACATTTTCCCCTTCAATAACAAACTACATTTATCAATCTTATCCATTTAATAATTTAAAAGTACAGGTGTATACATATCTGAGTTAACAGGACATTTAAATCTATATTTATCTCCAACCAGGAAGTAAATTACAGATCTTGTCCAAGTCTCGGCTAAAATCTCGCTCTGACATTCCAAAGTTTGTTTGTTAGCAGATATATACATTTAGAGGTCATTTGCATTAATTGTAAGTATTGGGTTGCCTGCAGACAGGAAATTTAAATTTTTCTCAAAATTTTTTTTTTCATTACATACAACTTCTCTTAGATTTAATACAATAGAGTAGTTTTGAATATTAATTTCATTATGAGGAAATTCTTCCTTAGTCTATAATGTTGTCTACATTATAATTGTTGTTAAGCTTTAACAATTAAATTGAAGATGTAAAACTGTTGCAGTTTTGGAACTCATATGCAAGTAATTAACTTTTAAATGTTAATTTCAGATGGCACTTTCCAAACCAAAAATACCAGGCACTGCCCAACACTTTCTAGAGTGTGGTTTTGAAGATTGTGAGAGAAATTGTGAATTCTACTGTAATTCCTGCCATCAACAGCTGTGTAAACCATGCAGAGACCAACATCTAAAGATTCCAGAAAACAAAAACCATGAGGTGGTCCTTTACCAGCAACGTAGACATCAACTTCCTGTGATGAAATGCAAGATCCATCCCACTAAAGAAATAGACATTTACTGCAAAGACTGCAATATACCTTTATGTTCAAAGTGTTCAACAATGCAAGAGCACCAGAGACATTGCTTTGTTGATTTAGAAACTATTTACACAGACAAGTTTGAACTTTGCAAAAAAGAACTCTCTAAAATCCATAATTACTTTGTTCCTACGTCACATGATTTACAGAGAGAAGTTCGGGAAGATGCCACAGAAGTTAAACAGATCATGGACAGCATACGGACATCCATGAAGGCTGAAGCCGAGTCTCTCAAAAACATGGTGGACACAGTGCTCTCAGAAAATATGGAAGAATTAAACCAAATAGAGCAGTCATTACTGGAGAAATTAAAGAGCCAAGAGAAGACATTTGATGATTATATTGCCTATCTCAGTGACCTTGTTAAAGAGTTCCAGAGTTACCTGTCCTCTACTGAGCTCACTAACTTCACAACTAAACTCCCAGAGAACTTAAAAATAAAATCCATACCAGAAACCACCAAACCTGTCACACCAGAATTTTCTTCTGCTCAATACAACAAAAATGACGTTGCTAAATTATTAGGGAAAGTATTTAAATCAGATAGAAAGGCAGAACTAAGAAGAGTAAAGCCAATGGAAATTCCTACTATTGCTACATCAATAAAATCTACAAGTGAACAGACAAAACAAGATAAACACGTGAAATCTGACAAGAAACAAACCATGTCTCTATCTGCCACCAAGGTCAGAAAGTTCAGAGTACCAGGTGTTGATAATGCATTCCATGTATCACTAGATCAATCACACAGACTCTGGATTAGTGACATTAACAGTAATCTTGTCCAAACAGATCTACAGGGGAATGTGATACAGAAGATAGAAACCAGTGGTGGAACTCAAGGTTACCACACAGTCACACAGAACGAGGATCTGATCTTTACAGACTATGACAAGAACGTCATCAATAGGATAACACAGGATAATAATATCACTGAATTCATTAAAACTGGAGACTGGAGACCACTCAGCATACACTCCTCCCACATCAACGGGGACTTACTGGTGGGGATGGTGACAGATGAAGAGGCTAAAGTCACCAGGTACAACAAGACAGGAAAAGAACTACAGAGCATACAGAGGGATAACAAAGGACAGGAACTGTATGGTGAACCAAACTACATTACAGAAAACATCAATGGAGATATCTGTACATCAGACTATTATAAAGGAGTAGTGGTGGTGAATAAATCAGGACAACACAGGTTCTCCTACACAGGTCAGAAATCAAAGTTCCATCCCTATGGAATCTGTACTGATGTCATCGGTCACATCCTGGTGTGTGATACTGATAGTAAATTTCTTCATCTCCTTGATCAGGACGGTCAGCTCTTGTCTCTATTACTCACAAAACAACAAGGAGTATACAATCCCGGTAGTGTGTGCGTGGATGATGAGAACAATTTCTATTTAGGACAATATCACGCCAACACACTGACAGTGTACAAGTATCTAGAGTGATTATAATTCTGTCACTTGTGTACAATATTAATAAACTTAATGGAATATTCAAATTTCCAGCACAGAAATAAATATCCTGAATATAATAGCCTTCCCTTCAATTAACAAAATATTAAACAAATTAGACAATATTATACAGTACTGTAAAAAATTAATTGCTTTCAATGGTAAACATTGAATCAAAACTTTTTGGGATTCCCCATTAAAAGATATCTGTCTAATTACAATGTGGTGAATGGTGAAATAAACATGAAACAAAATATGACTCAATCTTCAGTAGAGCAAGGTTGTTGTGAACTGCTTGTAATTACATGTAACTCAAGCTTAAAAAACCTCTGCTTTTAAAAATATTGAAGAATATATAATGAATTAAACTGCACATCATTGGAACTTCACTTTAAGCTTACTTTACTGTGTACTGATAGTACAAGTATTAAAAATTTCATTTCCATGATAAAAATATATTCTTCTTGGTAAAATATTCAATTCACTGGGGATAAAATATCCACAAATGAGAGTAATCCATAAAGGAGCCAGCATTAAAGAAAGCAATCATATGAAAACCATGTTATATCAAACAATGGACTTAAGGGGGATGTACGGCCACCTTTAGTGCTGTGAGAACAAAATGTAAACATTTCTTCAAATGGCTAAAATACATCATATTTTGATCAAATTTTAAGTCATTATGATAAAGATACAATAAATATTCACAACTGAATGCATGTTGTGCATATATAATCTATACTTTCGCAGAAAAATGCTTTTGATATGCTCCTTAGAACTGCACAGCTACAGAATTCAGCAGAGCCTTAAAAAATCCAAAAAAATATGCAAACTGTGCATCAATGTTCTCTCTACAACCATTTGTTGAGAAAAAGTCTAAATTTTGCACTTTTAAATGATAATTTCAAGTTCAAAACAAGGTATCGTTGTCTTCAAAAAGAGTGTAAAGAACCATGAAAGTAGTTCATGGATAGCAGCACGTGGTCTATTTTTAGCACAGAATTTTGTTTTCCAGACCTCTTCTTAATATGGAGGGACATAACAATCTTTAAATGTAGAAAAGAATTACAGTTGCAAAATATTTCAAATAGTATGAACACTTTTAAAAGAGGAAATGTGCTATAGTATGGCTTGAAGTAATTTATTTAGTATTATTATCGAACAGTTGTTAAATAATGTACTTATTGATATCAAAGAAAAAAATCTTAAACTCTTTGATTCCAGGTAAGGAAAAATGAGCACCATCAAAGTTAAGAATTAAGAGTTTTTTAGTTTGCCACAGATAACTTATAATATATATCAAAATTTTAATTATCACCAATGAAGCACAAAGAAATTAAACACATAAAATCGATATGAATGACCTTGATTTAGTACCTACTAGTACGAGGGTATGATCAAAAATTTCGCGAACTATCTCTATATCTACAAAACCACAATTCAGATTAGAAACAAATTTGGTGCACACATAGCTAAACACAAGTTCTATAAAATAGCATATGTTGAATAAAGTTTTGCTCATAATGACGTCATTATGCAGGTACTTGAGACGAAAAATGGTTGCCTCAGTGGAACTCGTTTAAAAAACGACTAAAATATTTATGGTTACAGAGTAAAGAAAAAAATCAACATTAATAAATGTTTATACCATCTTTAAAATGACGTTTGGTGGTCCTCCCAACTCAGGGAAAAATTATTGGGTCCTTATTTATAGGTGAGAAAAAATTCCTAAAATTTTAAACATATTCTTGACGGAAGAAAAAAACATGTAATGGGATGTAAAGAAAAAATGAGTCGGGCCATTTCTAGGCAGTAGATCAGGAGAGAGGGCAACCAAAAGTTTTTTATAACAAATTGTCTTATAAGGCTAGTACATGTTCCATCACATACTTAGTAATGCAATTTTTTTAATCTTTGGCATTATTTGAAAAACAAACATAGGATTTTTTTTTGGGGGGGGGGGGGGGGTTTAGCCTCTCATTTTTTTTCGTGATAGACATAGCTTATGCAATGGACTTTTCTTTGCAAACATTGTGCTTGCTTCTAAATTTCAAAGAAACAACTCAATATATTTTATCAAGCTTCGTATGTTCAATGAGCGAGAGCTTACAATGTTGTCAACATAATGAGACATGATGCGTTTTTATGTCCAAACATTACTCCATACAATGTGTGGTTCATTGCAAACAATCTAGCTATTTATGTGAGGTGCCTGAAGGAAATCCTATAACTTCCTATTTTTTCTAACTAACTGCTAAACAAAACAGACACGTGTACCAACTTTTCGAATGTAAGACATGTAAATACAATTTGTTTTTCATGCACTGCATATTGTTTAACATTTTCAAATTAAAAGCTAAGCATCCTCCTTGCAGTGCCTCATTTGAAAATAACTTCTATCGCCACAGAAAAAAGACCCGTCGTAATCACATATGTTTACGACATGTTTTATCTTTTTTCTTGAGTTTTAAAGAAACCAACAAATCATCAAGACTTGTTCCATGAAAAATTAAATATAATCATGGTAATAAACGCATCTATCCACAGCAGATATATGCACATGCCAACCACGTGCTCAGTGGAATGATATTATCGAGGAAACTCGAGCTGTAAACAGAACAGTTTTTCCCGATTTGCTGGAGTGGGGTTAAAATCGCTTTTTTTCATTAATCAGACGATGCAATGCAACAAATAAAAGTAGTAAGTAATATAACCTAATGATTATTACTTAGTAATTTCTTGTCTTGATGTTATTATGGTCGCATTTATTCTAAAACAAATGCTATTCGAACTCTGTGTGACAGAGGAATGGCGGACGAAATAAACACATGGCCTCAGGAAGACACCCATATGAAAAATCAAATTTTCAAGAATTATGGATAATGACAAGAAAAAAGCGAAACAAATGGTTGTAGCCATATCATCAATGAATCAAACTAACACTATATTCAATGCATTTTTCATCTCGTGAATGCATTAGCTGCACAGTTCTAACATGATTAATTTCCTCCTAATTAAAACAAAATAAACTTAATTATTGACTGATTTTGGTCTCTAACAGTAGGTAATTAGTGCATTAGCACTTTGAGTAACTTTGGGCTAGTTTAGTATAGTATTAAGCGCATTCTTGGTATTTCTTATTTTACACCAGACTAGATCCAATATGGCTTGTACATCCCCCTTAAGTTGAAACACTATTTACATGTAATATGACTAAGTTTTTACAGACAGCTACCTTCTTAGCCTGAGTGTGTGGCCATTTTAAGGTCAATGCTGGAGTCCAGTTCATTACGGACAATAAGGGCTGATCTGACCGTTATTAATTTACAAGCTTTTCCTTCCTGTTTGACATCAAACACAAGTCTTGCTTGCTTCTGGATGGATGGGTCATGTTTAGAACTGTATGTTAACTGAAAATTATGGAAAATCAGCCTTTACAATAAATAGAGTTCTGTGATTAAAATCAAAAAATGATACTACCACTGCAATTTTGAAATTGTCCATTTAAATTTTGTAATTGTATGTGACCTTAAACTTGTTAAAAATAAAGTGACCTTGATTTGAAAATGCCACATCAAAAGTTTATACTTACCCCAGCTAATCCTTTGGCCTGTGAGACATCAGGTTCAACGTGTCTGAAGTACACCCCCACACGATCCACCGACACATTGGACAGCTTCATCCACCCATCCACCTTCACAACCAGCTGATTGATGCTCATGCAACTCATACTAAACATCAGAACAATTTTCACCTCGTGGCGATTTTTCTCTTTGTTGTGGAAGAAGAGAGGCATTTTTTCTCCTGAATCCACTTTTCTCCACTCTGAAGCCTATATGTAGTGGTCATCTTTAGTACCTTTTCTTCTGCCTGACCTGAAATATTCAAAATATGTCAACATCACCATAATATGACAAGGCACGAAACAGCAATTTAGGAAACTTGTTTATCAATAAATTTATGTTACATTACCATTTATTATCATTGATGATACAAATCAAGCATATACAATGTTTCAAATTGGTTTGGATTTTTAAAGACCTAGATAATTGACTAGTTCTCTATAAATAGTGAATTCATTTTAATATTATTAATATGTCATACATTATAATTACATTATTGTTTTTATGTAATTCAGGCCACCAGTCAGAGGATGTTCTATGAATTCCATTGGTGAACTCTTCAGATTAGAGGCCCATTTGGTCGTCTGAGTGGCATGGCATGCCTTTGCGGATAATACAAAACATGCTAATCTCAATCCAATTTTAATGTTTAATGTATTTGTCATTACAATTAAAGAATAGAACTAAAAGACATATGAAAGAGAGCGAGATCCCCAAATTTATCATCCATTAAAAATGAAAAAAATACATTTCCGAGGCATGTGTATTGTATTTATAGATGTAACTTTATGATAAATAAAAAAATAAACTGATATAATTGTCATTTCTGCTCTTCATGGATACAAGTCAACAAAATATTTCATTTGCATTTTGTTAGAATTTGTTCATCAACTGTTGAGTTATATATGGTATAAAGAGTTTTTCTATTGTAGTTTTCACACAATAAAACCCCAGTCAACTCCCTTCAATTACAGTCCGAGTGCATTCCTATTAACTCTTTCCCCCTGTTGCCACCATTTGACGCATTTGCGATTTCCCTAGAGTGTTTATCTGGCTGCCCCCTGAAGCCATTTTGACTGACTTGAAATGACTGACCATTACATTTAGAACATGCCAATGAAGTACCTAAACATCATCAAAGTGGCACATATTATATATCAATGTTTGGGGAATGGATTGAACTTTCATATTGTCATATAATTTTCTAAGAATAATTAATCTACAATTAACAATATATAGGTGAAACCAGGTAAAATGAATTTTTCACAACTAATCCATATTATCCTTTCTATGAAAGAAATTTTCTATAAAATGTACCAGTACACTTAAAATATAATGTATGCTTTAATAATCAACAAATGGCAAAATAACAAAAAAAAATACTAAGCCATATAGATCCATGTCTATATTAAAAAGAAAGAGCTTTAATAAAATTATAATCAAATATAGTCAAATCTGATTAATACGTTCAGAACACTTGTTTATCATCAGAATTGAAGCACAACATTACGATTAACCAGCTATTGAATGTTTCATTTACTGACAGATAAATGCAATAATTATCTAACAATCTTTTAAACTAAGTCTTGCAATCATATTTTTAATATCAAGTTACAATTATAATAAATGATTGTACAATCAAAATACATTTTTAGAAATGTGTATGGGGAAAAAATGTTCATTATGCAGAGTTTTTCAAAGTTTCTATCACCAAGTTTTGAAGTAATTCACATGTGATAAAGTAAATCCCATATGACAAGTTTGTTCACGATGGCTCTATAAATCACATACAACACGTTTGTTTCTGATGGCTTTATTTATCCACTATGTATCCTCAGACTCGGTAGACGTCAGTGTGTGTTGTTGTTCTTCATACAAATTACGGGCGTAGTTGATCTGTTGACTCACCTGACAAGAAATAGATTACAGTGAAGCATACTGGTAGTGTTCCAGCTTTCATTGTGTTTCCAATGTATGAACTTTTTGACAAGATGAATTTTTATGTCCCAGTCAAAGTTACACAGTTTACAAGAACTCTACGGTTTACAGAGTTTTTCATTACCAGTAAATATGGCTGAATACAGACATGCAAATCTGCAGTGTTTACTTTAATATCCAGTTTCATGTACATTTTAATATGATTCTAGTATAAAGCTTATAATTTAATGATAAAACAAATATATCCATGATTGATAAAATTTTATGAAATCCCTCCTATAACAGCATCTATTAGTCTAATTTACCCTTTGAGCCACAGTCTGTAATGCTTACCCTTTGAGCCACGGTCTGTTTGTCACACTCACCCTGTCAGTCACAGTCTAGTAGTCACACTTACACTTTCAGACACAGTCGGTTTGTCACACTTACCCTTTCAGACACGGTCTGTTTGTCACACTTACCCTTTCAGCCATGGTCTGTTTGTCACACTTACCATTTTAGTCACAGTCTGTTTGTCATCTTACCCTTTTAGTCAAAGTCTGTTAGTCACACTTACCCTCTAAGCCACGGTCTGTTTATCACTTACCCTCTCAGCCATGGTCTGTTTGTCACACTTACCCTTTCAGCAATTGTCTGTTTGTCACATCTTATCTGGGGGACCCTCTGTTGATCAGAAGCTGATGTTTGTAACCTCACAAGCTCCAAGTAATATCTACCCTCTGTCAATCAACAAAGAAAAGATACAATCAGTAAATATACTTATCAAGACACAACAGAATGGAATAGCCCCTGTCACTTACTGATTTCCACCACCAAACACTGGCACAGCTCTTTGTGGGGGACCTTGAGAATGATGTTCCCAGAGTCGGCCTCACCCCCCAGTAAGAAGTACACCTGTCTAGAGGTTATCAGGGACATCAGTCTGTCTTCTCTCCTCAGCTGTTCTACAGCTATGAAGCTACAACCAACACACAAACAATTTACAGATTTAATTACTTTCTTAATTTACCAAGAACCATATTTTACAACTACTTTGTTTTGTTTCTTAATTTTCTTTCTGCTACAAACCAAAATAAAAGTTCTAAAATATGATTTCCATATGTACACAAAGGAAACGAAAAGAACATTTTTTCAAAGAGTGATAAATAAAATATATATCGACTTATTACGATCAAACTTTACAAGGAAAAAAACTGTTTTTACTAGTAGATTTTTATGGTATCTAATAATTACAATTCCTCCAGGTTCTTCTTGTTGAGATCATGCAGTAGTTTCTGTGACTTGGAGTCATTTTGAGAATACGGAGGCAGCAGCATGCCCGCCCCGTGACAGCACCGTGGGAGTCGGAGGGGCGGGGGACTGATACGAGAGCTGCTACTGCTGGTGTCCCTGATAGCATTAGCAGCTCCCGAGGCAAGGTCGAGTACTCCCACTACAGGCTTAGTCACCGTACCAATCACTCCCTTCCCTATCCCTGTCACAAGGCCCTGATAAACATAAAGTAAATTACAGCTCAAAAAATCAAATATAATTTTTTTTAAAAATTCTTTTCCCTTTTCTACTAGTCTTCAATTACTTAAAATTTCAGAACCCTTTGAATTTCCTGCAATGAATTACCTCAATACCATCTTCCTTGAAGCCGTCATAGGGCTGAGTAAATATACTGGTCACAGCACCAAACAGTCCATTACCAAAACCTTTGACCCCGGCCAGTATATGCCCCCCGCTGGACTGGGCACCGGTCCTCAACTGCTCCCGTCTGTCCTGGTAATTCTTGTCCATGTTCAGTGTCCCAAGTCCATCAGACAGTGATCCAACAACCTGTGAACATCATACAGCATAAAAACTTAAAAGAAATCATTTTCAAAATCTATTCTAAATTCATTTGCTGATTCAAAAGAATATTAACCATTAGGAAGTAACATGACAAATGCATGGTCTATATTTAAAAATTCATTGACACTTTTTTAAATTTGAGTTTCAATACTTTAAATAATGTATATTAATGAGAAATATTGTTATTTAGTACAATTTAAACATAAGCAGTAGCTTGTAGTGCTTATCAAGTTGCAGAAGAAGCTAATTACCTTAGCAGCAGAGTTGGACACTCCATGTGTGACGTTCTTCAGGAGACCCCCCACATTGCCATCATTGATCAGACCAGAAATTCCCTCTGTGACATCATTAAACAGACCCAGGGGATTCCCCAGGAAGTCCACAGAACCCAGGATCTTGGCTGCCTGACTCTTCAGCTCCTGTCGAACAAGGTAGGTCATACAATGAACAGGGTTATAAAAAGAGACTGTACAAGTGAAAACACAGGGTTTTGTTTGAAAACTTCAATTACATTACAGAGCCAGTTGGAACAAAATAAATGTTATTTAAATGGCTGACAAAAATGTAAATACCTCAGTGTAGTGGAATCCTATCTCTTTCTGAAGGAACACAATGGTTTCAAACAGGTGACTTTTGACGAAAGGATCTGTAATGGTTGTAAATATTACTTTGAAAAGTAGACTTACAAAACATCAGGTTCATATGTTTAGGGTATAAGTGTAATCTTAAAATTGAAAAATAACAAGAGGCCCATGGGCCACATCGCTCACCTGAGAAGCTTTGACCATTCCGTTCTTTACCACATTTCCCCCTTGCAATACATATTGTGGCCCCACCCTACCCCACTGATCATAATTTTGACAATTTGAAATCTACACTACCATAGGATGCTTTGATTCCCAATTGAAAAACTTTGATTCCCCATTGTGGCCACGCCTTACCCCCCGGGGGTCATGATTAGAACAATTTAGAATCTACACTACCCCAGGATGCTTTCACATAAGTTTAAGCTTTTCTGGCCAAGTGGTTCTTGAGAAGAAGATTTTCAAAGATTTTTCCAATATATTTCTATGTGAAACTTTGATTCCCCATTGTGGCCCCGCCCAACCCCCCGGGGGTCATGTTTTGAACAATTTAGAATCTACACTACCCCAGGATGCTTCCACATAAGTTTCAGCTTTTTTGGCCCAGTGGTTCTTGAGAAGAAGATTTTCAAAGATTTTTCATATATATTTCTATGTAAAACTTTGATTACCCATTGTGGCCCCGCCTAACCCCGGGGGTCATGTTTTGAACAATTTAGAATCTACACTACCCCAGGATACTTCCACATAAGTTTCAGCTTTTCTGGCCCAGTAGTTCTTGAGAAGAAGATTTTTAAAGATTTTTCCTATATATTTTTATATAAAACTTTGATTCCCCATTGTGGCCCCTCCCAATCCCTGGGGGTCACGATTTTGACAATTTAGAATCTACACTACCCTAGGATGCTTCCACATAAGTTTCAGCTTTTCTGGCCCAGCAGTTCTTGGGAAGAAGATTTTTTAATGACCCCACCCTATTTTTGTCTTTTCTTGATTATCTCCCCTTGTGAGGGGACTTGGCCCTTCATTTTAACAATTTTAAAAATTCCCCTTCACCAAAGGATGCTTTGTACCAAGTTTGGTCAAAATTGGCCCAGTGGTTCTTGAGAAGAAGTCGAAAATGTGAAAAGTTTACAGACGGACGGACAACGGACAAAATGTGATCAGAAAAGCTCACTTGAGCCTTCGGCTCAGGTGAGCTAAAAACTTGCTGATAGTAATTAATGAGTTATTAGGTACACCATTTTCCTACTTCAGACATGACCTAGATCCACTTAAGCTCACTAGCTATAATTTGATGACAATACAGTTACCTAGATCCACTTTGGCTGACTAGTGATAATTTGATGTCAATACAGTTACCTAGATCCACTTTGGCGTCTTCGAATCTGACGAGTGGTAGAGACATGTCTCTCTTCAGAGCCTTCAAGTCAGCTGACAGTTTGGAGGCAGTGAGCATGCTCAGATTTACAAGACTCGTGTGGATTTTCAGGAGTCCAAAGTAATATCTCTTGGTCTTCACTGAAGTGGCAGCTGCAAGTGCTCTGTAAAAAGTTGGTGTACGTTAAGTATGTAAAGTATCAGTTTGCCTCAATGTATCTGTATACAATAATAAATCCATTTACTAGAAATCAAACTATCCAACTTGCTGTAAAGTTATATTCTGTACATTACAAAAAAGTGTAACTACTGTACATGTGTATATGTATCAATACTGTAAATAAATTTTACTCTATTCTGTAATAGTCATTATCACTAGTTTTACCACAGTCCACCACTTACTTTCTTGGATCCTCCCCCTCTGTGACTTTCTCATCCAGGTGGTCTGTTGACCCAAATCCACAGAACTGTAACAGCTTCCATAACAGTTCCTCCTCTACCTGAATGCTCAGTTTCTTCATGTTTACAATCAAGTGCTAAAAAGGGACAAATTTCAACTCTACACATCTTGTACAATATAAATATTTATTAATACTTTTTTTTTGCACCGGTTCACCACTTCAGAGAAGAAGCTAAAAATGATCAAAAGTTTATGATTGACTTACAACATGCAATGACAGATAAAAACAATAGCAATGGGTCACCTGAGTGACTCTGTTGACCTTAATGAGAATATGAAACATTTACTTTATAAATCTCAGCATTCCACTTTGAGTTGGGAATTTTCTGGGCTACTACATGGAGAGCTGGGGTATTCTCTTGGACGTCTCTTCTAGGGGTAGGTGTGACGTACAACAGCACAGGTCTGGTGGCTGTGAACAGCTGATTATCTACCTGTACAAACAAGTCACACAAAATAACACAAGCTGTATTTTGAACTTATTTCTTACATCAATTCATAAAATACAAACAAGTCAAACAAAATAACACAAGCTGTATACTGTAAACGTGGAAATTTTGACGATGTGCTTATTTTGACTATATTGACGATTTTACTTTTCTCGTCAAAATTTATACTCGTCAAACTTCACATCATATATATAGCGTCACAACAGACATTGACCAGTGTACATCATTACCGCTTAATTTCTCGGCTTTCCCCTTTTAAAACTAGATCAAAATTACTTTTAATTTCTTCTGTAATTAGTTATGAAAACATAGTGATAAATAATTACATTTTTAAAACAAAACATTGTATCCAATACTGCATGCCTAACTTAGCATAATTATTATGCCGTGTTTGACCTAGTTTGTCACCTCAGGCAACTGACCGCTTATAATGAAAACAAATTACAATTAAGAAGGTAGTTTATTTAATCAAATCTTACATACTTAGATAGTTTGTACAATCTTACACACTGTAGATGGTCTGTACAAAAATTAAATCTTAGTGATTCCAACGCTGCCTCAATTTGCATCCCCGTGAATTCAAAGATACATAACTCTTGATTAAATATTTCGTCAAAATTAACACTAGTCAATTTTCGTAAACAAAAAATCGTCAATTTTTCAACTCGTCAATATAACCACGTTTACAGTATTGAACTTATCTATTAAATCAAGTCATAAAATTGAAAAATTCTTTTAAATCTGAAATTAAAATCATTGATAGAGCATTCTTCAAATTTACACTCACAGTATATATCAGCTGTATTTGGCATTTTGTTTGTTTACAAAATAATTCACAATACACTGTACTACAATATTTGACTGAAAAAAAACCCTTCTGAACTTTTGTTTGAAAGGTGATGTGCCACTGACTTCTACCTAATCACTGGTACTGTATTTCATAAATCAAAATTTGTCTTACACATACCTGTATATTGGCTACTGCTACATCCACCGTCATGTAATTAGGGTTCTATCACATGATGTAATTAAAACTGTTCTACACGTACCTGTACATTGGCTACAGCTACATCCACTGTCATGTAATTAGGGTTAGAGATGTAGTCCAGAGAAATGTTCTGTAGTGAGATATAGACCAGCTCCTCAGGGCTGTAGTTCACCAGAGATAAACCCAATCCACCCTTCAGACTCATACAAATCTACAACACATGGGAGTAATCAATATCTTAAGTCAACTACAATTTTCTCTTACACCTTCTACATATAGGTTACCATTTTAAAACAGATTCGTTCAAAATTCAAAATTGGATATCAATACCGGTAATTACTTATTCAGTATAATAAGAATACAACCATGTACTAAATTTACATTATTACATGTATATTAACAATACTTTAATTAATCATTTACTTTTAATGACTGACCTCTAAGCTTGATTTCTTCTCTACTGATTTATCTTCTATCTTAGCCACCTTATCTTCTTCACAAACAACCCAGTCTTGGTAGTTCTTTGTTACTTCAGCAACAGACTAGAGAAATCGAAGGCAGAGTTTTAAACTTCTCAACATTTTACATTGATATCTTCAGAAAAGTTAAAATTTCCACAAAACAGTCAATATATGCAATACTGTTTGAGATTTGTTTTGACATCAACACCAAACTTACTCCTTGAGAGACATCAGTGATTTGCAGCACTCTGATTGGTCCATCCATGACGGTCCTAACAGCCAGACAGCCGGACCCTGGGAGGAGCCTCTGTCTGTCAATCTTCATGTGGGCGGGGACACTCCTGCCTGAGGGGGGACCAGGCCCCACTACAGCCACAGCGGAGTCCCTCAGACACTCCCCCCCTCCCAGGGTCTGTACACACATAGCACCATCAACACAGCACAATCGACCATCCTGAAATACGGCCATAGGATTTAATTTAATTAGCGTGGGTCCCAAGATCACCAATTAAAATTAAATTGCCTCATATTCATGATACAAGAGGCCAAGGGGCCACAGCGCTCACCTGAGCACATCGGCTAGGAAATAGCACAAATCCTTGCGGGGCCCTAATCAAATCTAGCTTGAAATAGAATACCAAATTTTATGGACAAATAGTTAAAATTTGCGTCTCGCTAAAATTTCCACTTATATGGTATTCCCTTCTTCTATTATTATTTTGAAATAGTAATTTTAGTAAAAAACCCTTACACACCTGTAATCATCTTTATCTATATCATGATTTGTGATAGAATTTCAAGATTTAAATGAATATGATTAATAATAACAACCATAAAATGTTTACTTATCCAATACAAAATCTACCTCAGTGAACTTCCAGGTCTGTGTGGCTTTCCTGCGCTCGTCCCGTTTTCTGAGGGTGAGGGGGACAATCCTGCCCGGCCTGGGGGCAATGTCATCTATATCCAGTACCATGCTCTTCCCTGAGGGGTAGGAGGACCGACTGTGGGGGTCTCGGGGAGATATCGACCCCTCATGCTCTAACATGCCCCCACTGGTCATTCTCCATAACTGGTTACGATTACCAATGTCCTGTCAAACAATAAATTACATCACCTATACAGACATATATTGTCAAAAACATGTTGGATGCATTCACAGCACATAAATTGAATTCATATACATTGTACTAACCCAGGAGGACTTAAAACCTTAATTTGACTGAATCGAAACTCCAAACAACCAGAAGTCTCTGTCGAGACTGAAGCTCTACTGGTTTGTACTTATAGCAAAGGAAGAGAAAAGTTCTTAAGGTAAGTCACTCCTGAAATTTGTTAAATCAAGGATTTTTTGAGAAGTATATTTTGAAAAAATACTCATAAAGTGTAACTCAAAATCGCAAAGAAAATAGGGGGTCAGTGTGCATCCTACTGATCTACGGTACATTTAAGTTGACTTTTTTGCACTTAAATTTCATCTCTTTGGTTAATTACTTTAACCCTTATTATATTTGATCAGATGTAAGCATGGCAATAAATATAATCTTATTTTACGTGAAATAGTTTGAATAATATTTATCATTAAACAAATCTTGCAAATTAATGCGCGTAAATTATTGTGTGACCTTTTTGCACTAAAAAATAACATTTTTGGGGTATTAAAAAACTTAATAGGCAATAAAAATTTTTCTTATATCAAACTTTTTACGACTTAAGTGCTGATCAGTCACAAGTATCGAGTAGTTTAAAATAATGAAAGAAAAAGGTGGGGTCAGTGATGTTAATTTTGAAATATTTGTCAAAATATGTGATTTTCAGGCAAAAAATGGTGTAAATTTGATCTTGACTTCTTTAATATATTTTCAATTTTTGGAAACGTTTGTTGAGGGAAGGTGTAAAACTTAGTCTAAAAATATAAATTAAGACCTATATATCAAAACGGAAAATATTCTCAGAGTAAAAGTATGTGAGGCTAAATTTCCATTACATTAAATTTTATAAATGTGCAGATTTGCAGAATTTTCTGCTAAATATCCTTCCACCAAAAGAAATAGTCCCTCATAAATCTTGTTTCTTTGTAGATTTTTGAGCAGTTTTTTCATTGAATGTTAAAAAATTTACATTGTTGAATTTAAATATGTTACAAAAATTGAATTTTAATAAGTAGTTTTGAAGTTAAAGCTTCTGCGTGAACTTTTCTAAAAAGCTGACGAGTGACTTACCTTAAGCAGTTGGGAATTGAAACTTTACCACAGCAATAAAAAGAATAATGATCCTTGATTAAGTCTCTTTATGTTCTTAGTGTAGTCTACTTGCATGCCAAATTATATTATAATCAGACTTAAACTGTATTTGGAGTAGCATTTTGAGAATTTTTAACAAAAATTTCTAATTTTAGTTACCACGGCAACACCGATCATTGAAATCAAAAACAGATAAACAGAATTATGTATCTTAGTGTAGTCTACTTGTGTGCCAAGTTATATTGAAATCAGACCAAAACTGTAGGAGGAGTAGCATTTTGAAAGAATTTCACAGAAATTTCTATTATTAGTAACAACAGCAACACCGTTCATCGAAATCAAAAACCGATACACAGAATTATTTATCTTAGTGTAGTCTACTTGTGTGCCAAGTTATATTGAAATCAGACCAAAACTGTAGGAGGAGTAGCATTTTGAAAGAATTTCACAGAAATTTCTATTTTTAGTAACAACAGCAACACCGTTCATCGAAATCAAAAACCAATACACAGAATTATGTATCTTAGTGTAGTCTACTTATGTGTTAAGTTATATTGAAATCAGACCAAAACTGTAGGAGGAGTAGCATTTTGAAAGAATTTCACAGAAATTTCTATTTTTAGTAACAACGGCAACACTGTTCATCAAAATCAAAAACGAATACACAGAAATATGTATCTTAGTGTAGTCTACTTATGTGCCAAGTTATATTGAAATCAGACCAAAACTGTTGGAGGAGTAGCATTTTGAAAGAATTTCACAGAAATTTCTATTTTTAGTAACAACCGCAACACCGTTCATCGAAATCAAAAACCGATCCACAGAATTATGTATCTTAGTGTAGTCTACTTGTGTGCCAAGTTATATTGAAATCAGACCAAAACTGTAGGAGGAGTAGCATTTTGAAAAATTGTTTACAGACAGACGGACAGACAGACAGCTAGACGGACAGACGGACGGACGACGGACGCATTACTATCGCATAAGCTCTTCTGGTCTCTGACCAGTAGAGCTACAAATTAATTAAAAGTAAATTAAACTTATTTTTTTCCTTACATTTCTTCCTATTTCTTTCCTTAGTCATCATTATGCCAAAAATCTTTATTCAAAAAGTGAAAAAAGCTTCTACTTCTAAAGCTATATTTTGCAAAACATATAATTTTACCTTTTTACAAAATTTGATGTACTGATCTTCAACAACTTCTAAAACCAGTTCTGTGTGTGAACTATCCTGTGTTGACCTTCTTAAAATAGAAAGGATTTAAATTTAAACATTATAAAGATCAATTAATTAATTATAAAATGAAGAATTGCAGGATTTCATGTTGACAAAACCTACAAGTGAAACTTATAGATCAAATTCTACATTTTAATACAGAAAATTGATTTCCAATTCTACACAAAAATTGATCGAGCTTATTACAAAGAACACACCTTGGAACGGTAGCTGATGCTCTGAGGTAAATAAAGTTGGGATAACAGAGTTGCTTCCCTTCCTCCAGTTTGTCCATATTGTAGGTGGCACTAGTTCCTCCCTTTACTCTCAGTGTTATGGAGTGACTCAACATTGGCTCATCCCAGGCATATGGTACTATCAAGAATTTTACAGTAAAATTCAGACTTAGGTGTCCTTAAATATTGAAATGGTCTTGTAACAAGAGAAGAGAAAAATGAAGCTGAAAAGACTGGAATTCAAAACCTGGGCTTTTTCTCCAGTCAGGTGCTCTAAAGCTACCAAATGAACTACTCTGTATCTAGCCATCAGCAATCAATCCCAGTCTAGTCTGCTGCATTTTTTCTCCTCTCCCAAAACTGACAATATTTATAATTATAGCTATAAATTAGTGCAGAGAAAGGTAAATGAACATAATTTGAAACTTACATTGTACATGAGGTTGAACAAAAGCTTTCAGCTTCTGTTCTGTCGTGTCACTTTGGAAATATTCCACAGGAATCTGAAACATTGAATTGAATGAAAATTTAAATAAAGTTCATCAATTCAACATCTTAATAACAATTAATGTAATACAAAGGTTTTCTTTATGTCAGATATAACGTAAAGTCCACTTACTTCAGCCCAGTTGTCGATTCTGATGGGAGGGGGGACTTCCCCTGCGTCCCCAAACACGATGAAGTAGGTGGGTCCCTCCATCACAATCTCCACCTTCAGCAGATGACTCACATTCTGATCATCCCTAAAATACACACAATCTAAACAAGGGCACCACAAAGCAGAGCATCAACTTGCAAAGAGCATATCAATTAATCAAGACAGCATTCCATGTTGATTCTGATGCAAATCACATCACTTCCGTTTTACACAGGACATAACCCACAAACACACACCCACAAAGAATTGCTATTATTACTATATTCCTCCAATTCTGTTGCAAGGAGATTATAATAAAAAAATTGATTCCAGGTAAATTAATGTCAACAATTCATTACAACTTTCATAAAGAATGGTGCACTAAATTCTATTCTATTGTGCCACAACTTATTTTGGAAAAGAAATTCCCTAAAGCCTTATATAATAGGTGAATTAAGTCTTCAAAAGCAAGAAATTTTGATTTAAAAAAAAAATAGCTAGCACATCCCTTATCTGCAAAATTTAAAATATTGAAAACTTGCTTAATAATTTGCACACTGAAGCACTCTAGGCAATCTAGATCCATTTTATAAACAAGAGGCCCAGGGGCCACAGCGCTCACCTGAGCACATCAGGCTTGAATTTACCCCCCCCCCCCTTCCAGGCATTCATCATTTGAACAAACTAGAATCTACACTACCTGAGGATGATTCCATATAAATACCCCGGGTATCACTAATCATAGCTTTGAAGTACTTGAAAAGAAGATTTTAAAAGGTTTCCCAATATTTCCCTATGTAAAACTTGGGTCGGCCATTTTGGCCCCACCATATCCCAAGGGCAGGGGGTCATGATTTGAAAAAACTTGAATCTACACTACCTGAGGATGATTCCACATGAATTTCATCTTTCCTGGCCCAGTGGTAATTGAGAAGGATTTTTAAAGATATTTCCTATATATTCCTATGTAAAACTTGGGTCGGCCATTTTGGCCCCACCCTTGCCCCGGGGGTCATGATTTGAACAAACTTGAATCTACACTACCTAAGGATGATTCCACATGAGTTTCATCTTTCCTGGCCGAGTGGTTCTGGAGAAAAAAATTTTTAAAGATTTTTCCTATATATTCCTATGTAAAACTTGGGTCGGCCATTTTGGCCCCACCCTTGCCCCGCGGGTCATGATTTGAACAAACTTGAATCTACACTACCTGAGGATGATTCCACATGAGTTTCATCTTTCCTGTCCTAGTGGTTCTTGAGAAGACGATTTTTAAAGATTTTTCCTACATTACCTGAGGATGCTTCCACATGAGTTTCATCTTTCCTGGCCCAGCGGTTCTGGAGAAGATTTTTTAAAAATGCCATTAATTTTTAACAAATTCATGATTATCTCCCCTTGGAAAAGGGCGTGGCCCTTCATTTGAACAAACTTGAATCCCCTTTACCCAAGGATAATTTGTGCCAAGTTTGGTTGAAATTGGCCCAGTGGTTCTTGAGAAGAAGATGAAAATGTGAAAAGTTTACAACAACGACTACGACGACAACGACGACGACGACAACAACGACAGACAACAGACAAATTTTGATCAGAAAAGCTCACTCGAGCCTTTGGCTCGGGTGAGCTAAAAATGATGTCAATTTCAAACGATTATGTGCAAGTGAAATGCAAGTATTTCTATAATATTATCTAAATGAACATCAATTTATACCTTATATTTATGTGGAAAGAATCTGTTTTGTCGATTCTGAATCCACCTGACCAGGAGGAGGATCCCACATCCAATAGATTTACACATAACAACTGATCAAGGTCAAGTCTTGGCCAATGAAATGGAAGCTTACATTGTGGAAGGGCAATCAAACAGGTGTCTAACTTCATTGTCTGCAAGAGATCAAGTGGGCACAAAAATTAAACTGCCAGGGCAATTCCTAAAATGAATTTATATCCTGAGAAAAAATTAACTGAATAAATTATGTTTTCCCCTTTCCTGGCATGAAAATTTACATGTAGTACATGATATTCTCTGAAAACAATTTAAGAAAATCACCATCAAATGAATCCTCCATGTACGTACCTCAGACTGGGCAAGATGTCTCTGAGCGATCGCTAGTCTGTGACTGGATTGGTTGTCAATTTCATACAAGGGGGCAAAGGTCACAATGTTTGTGTCAGCGTACAGTCCCTTCCCTTGGTGAACCCCTATACCAATGTTGTACACCCTAAAAATACATATATAATTTAAATACAAGCCTTAACAGATTTTCATATTTAATAAAAAAAAAAATGTGGAATTCAAAATTCTTTTTTATTCATAATATGCTCATTTTATCAAGGCTCTTAAAACATTCCTTTTACAGGTAAGTTATAAACTGTATCATAAAAAAAATATTGGCTACACATAACAAGAAGATTACATGGATTGCTTAAAAATAAGTATCTTAAAGTGTGTGAAATCTAATTCAAAAGTTGAACTAAATTTATATATACGTGTATACATTTATTACGATCATACCTTTTTACAGGTAAATATAGTATATTAACATACATACCAAAAGTTTAAATAAAACATTCATTGGACAAAAGGAATCCAAAAAATAAGCACTTTAGAAAACAGTACACCAATTTGACAAGACCCTATGTATTTAAACCCTCGGGTACTTCATGCAAATCCAAAGCCAGGAGATGAAATACAGTAGAGTCCTGGTATGGTATCAGATATTATTATGCTTCCTGTCAGTTTGTCTCTGTATAACCCATACCCTACTAATCTTGCATAGTGTTCTAAGGATTTATATATTAGCATAAGCATACTATGCCGAAATAGTGCACAGCATCCATTTTTGAGGAAAATTCGACAACGCCCATACCAAGGAGCGAACTCACGACCCCCAGAATATCAGTCCGACACGCTACCGATTACGCCACAGACGCGGATATCTTTAGTATTGTACTATAGTATATATAAACTTAGTTTCAAATATTTTTACACTTAAGATTAAAAATAAACAATTGAAAATAATTCCTCTAAAATAGTTTCTTGCAACCCCCCTTCCTTCACTCAAATACTATTCTCTAAAACTATCTGTAGATTACCTAAAACATGGAACGTTCAAAATTAAAGAAAAAGATTATTACATACTTGTTGCACAGGTGATGAAACATTGGGAATAGAGAAAATATTGCCCTTTTTATACAGTAACAACAGTCAGCATAATAATAACAATAGTGTTGTGTTTTGCGTGCACCATGCCTAAATAGTAGTCAGAGTTTGACACATAGTGCACTCGCCTCCGGCTCGTGCACCGTGTGTCAAACCTTGACTACTATTTAGGCATAGTGCACGCAAAACACAACACTATCAGTTACTGTAGTAAACTGGGGTATGGTATCAAATACTATCAGTAGTAGATTGGGGGTATGGTATCGGATACTATCAGTACACCCTGGGGCCTCCTCATACAGCCATGCTCCTCCCTCCACCTGAGACAGAACTGCTCCCCTCCCAGTCTCTCTGTGACTTACTGTGTGTTAGGGATACAAATGGCCAAGGACAGCTTGGCTTGACTTTGTAGTTGTACTAACCAGTCTGGGCGGTTGCCAGTCTTGGGAACCACATTCAGTCTCCTCATGCCGGTACCACTCTCCAGGGAGAACCGCTTACACCTGGGTCAGATAAAAGGATTTATGAGTAAGCTTGAAGTAAATGTACCAGAACTGTCCAAAATTAAAATTCCATTATTCTACGACATACAGGTGACTCTCGATGGCTCGAACTCCGATCTCTCGAAGTTCTCAAAGTGAACCTCCGGTCCCGTTTTTTTCCTCTATATAACTAAGCAAATTTACTCTTGATCTCTCGAACTTCTATCTCTTGAAGTTCTCTATCTCTCGAACCAAAACCTGGGTCCCGTTACACATATTTCATTGAATTTTACTCTCTATCTCTCGAAGTTTTGATTGCGCGTGTATACATACGCCGTGAAATTGAGCCTGGACTTACCTGGAAAAACATTTAATGCCTGGGGCTGGCATGAAGGTGTTAATTGGGTGTTTACATAGATGACACTACACCTGTGGGTTGTCCGTGTATTGATATAATTAATTGGTTATTATTGGTAAATTAAAAACGAATTCAGAACTTATTTTTACTTGAAACCAAGAAGATAATTTTTGGAAAATAAATTTATAGACGTTCGTTTCAATAGGTTCCCATAGACTAAGAACTTTTATTTGAGTCTACACAATCCCAATATGGCAAATATTGCACAAGAAAGTCCTTTCTCAAGGACTGAAAAATCTGGTGAACACTTGTGAATGACCCGATCAAGCCGTGGAATAGCCAAACCGCCAGTTGCTTGTATTCGGGTTTCATGTTATCATGAAATTAGAACAAATAAATATTGAAACTTCAGGAATTCGTTTTATTTATTCGAAATATGGTCATTGTTGTTGATATCAAGTATATTACCTGTAAAATACGATTGAAAACGTGCAATATAACTTTATTTACATGTACTTCCGGTATCTATAAAAGTAGAACATCAATGATTTTATTAACTTTCTATCTCTCGAACCCTTCGATCTCTCGAACTTTTCTTGCGTTCCCTTGAACTTAGAGAGATCGAGAGTCACCTGTATTTCAAAATTGATATTTTTTTCTCCCTCCTAAAAATTGCACATAGGTCCTGCTTTTCTTGAGAAAAGGTTCAAAGAAAAATATCTCCTGCTGCTTAAAAAGTTTTTTTTCCTCTTTCTTCCCCTTGAAAAATGTTGATTTGGGCCATATAGTGCAAAAATTATAGTCCCTTTAGTTGTGGCTTCATAAACTAAGGATGTTTTTGACTCAGCTTAGTTATAAATAAATATCAAAAGTAAAATATTACCACACAGGTACACTGTCTGGACCCTGGACCGACTTTCCTACTCTCATTGTACATCTGTCAAAGGAAAACAAACAATGAGTAATCAGTGAAGAATGAACAGCTGAATTTATTCTTAGATGCATCATGCAAGCAAATCTAGCTTACCAGAGAGAGTCTATTTACAGTTATCTAATGATTTAATGTCTAGTTAGTCCATTTGCCATAAACTGTCCCATGTTTCCAACTAATGTTGATGCCTTTGGATACTCAGTTGATGTCCCTGGCATACTTTACTAACTAGACAACGAATCCTCATTTTTACGTTTCTATCTCATTGTGAAATAAAATTGTAGATTTTGATTTTAAATGTCATGTAATAGATTTAAATTACTTCCATATCAATTTCAATAGTCCCCGCCCAATGACATAAAACACACAGTCACACAAGATTTACATGCATATGAGGCCTCCTTAGCTTGCTTGGCTAAATTGACATTTCAGTAGAATGATCAAGAAATCAACTCAACTAACTTTCAAAGAGTTATCCCAGAGAAAACAATCAGAATGGAAAAATTCATAATTAAACTTAGAAATTTAAAAACAGTGTTCAAAGAACTCAATGGTTTTAAGGTTGACATGTATGCTATGGTGAAGTATGCTATAGTGAATGTCCTCACAGATTGGGCAGGTCCTTCTCGGCGTAACAGAACAGTAGCGGGGTGACGGAGCGGGCCAGTTCATGTTCCTCGTACTGTCCGGCAGCATCCTGCTGGGAGAAGTCCTGTCTGAACACCAGGGGGAGCCCCGACTTGTTGACCAACCAGTAAGGGGCCGTCACATGGATCTAGAAAGAAAATCCTCGCATGGTTATTTTTTTTTTATTAATGTAAAAAATTAATGAGAAACTTTGCAGGTTCTGTACATAATTACAAATTTATACAGTCATGTTCATCATAATTACATTGGACATGTAATATTCTATACATTGTAAGTTTATTGTTTTTAACACAAACACGATAAGATTTTACTAGAACTCTTCTACTTTATCTCTCAAGAGGAAAAATAGAAAAGTACAATAAAACCTTGAACAATTTTCAAGTAAATTGTACTAGATGTAAATAAAGAAATCAATGTTTTCAGCATCATAAGAATTCATTTATTTAGAACTTACTGAGACAGATCCTCCCTTCCTGAAGATGATTTTGATGAGTAACTCTAGCAGCCGTTTCTTGGTATCATACAGACGAATCTTGACCTTGTGGTACTGGGGGCCGGTGGTGACAGGAGGAACCACCAACTCTTTACAGGTGGGGAAGTTCTCCAGATTTAGACCCAGCTCCATCGCCTGCTGAGGGTCGGCCTGTAACAGATAGTGTGGGTGAACCAACATAATTTACGCTACCTGAGGATGTTTTCATACCAGTTTCATCTTCTTGAAGTAGCAGTTTATTTTGACATTCTTAAAAGATGGCATTAAATTTTCATAAATTTTAGTATCTCCCCCTGAAAGAAGGTGTGACCCTTGATATAAACCAACTACCAATGTGGATCACAGTAGATTATACAAGACTTTTATTTAATGAAGGCCTTGAGCCTGCTTGTACTTACAGCATGTAAGAAGGCCTTCTCTCCTGTCTTCACTGTTCCACAGATCTGTGTGTCTTTGATGTAGTACCTCAGCTCTATGGGCAGCAGGTTACGAATAATCACAGCTGGACGTATGGATACAGTGTGTCCTGGTAGAATCAAACTCGAGTCCTCGGTCAGTAACTGCTCAGGGTAGTTCTCCCGCTTGACCGACACACAGAATCTAAAATATACAAACACATCAAATCAAGTTCTACCAGAAGAAAAGTAAATTTCATTATGCAAATCAATTTCTTTTTACCAATGCTTGCAGGGAAATTAGAATGGAAATCGAATTCATATTCATTTAATGAAAAAATATAAATCAAATTGGATATATAAATTCAATACTAAAATGTTTAAAATATCCATCTTTAATGGGAAATTTACGTAGGCCATTTTTGCAATGTTTTTTTGTGAAATCGCAAAAAAAGGAAATGACTGCTAGCACAATAAAAATTGTCAAAGATGGCCATGGGAATTTATCAGAAAGATGATAATTACTATCATTTCATTTAATGATGAAAGTTAATCAAAATTGTTTGACAATCTTTAGATTCAATTTGAAAAAAATATACCACAGAAATTTGTATTCACTTTAATCCAATTTTTGCCTGTTAAACAAATTAATAAATGATCTTTTGCTGTTGCATATATGACCAATGAAATTATAAAGGTTTATGAGAGAATTGTTACCTATAAACTCCATTTCCTTCAGAAGAGTCACATTTCATAATTCTTTCCTTCACTTCCCCTGCCAAACCAACATGCTGCCATTGGATTGGTTGATTGCAATACTTGACCGGCCAATCAGAAGGCCTGACATAGAGCATGGAAGACACATATGGAAGTGGAAGTGGTAAGGTTCCATTGGCTGGGATTTCCATGATATTAAATTTACCTGTATGCAGAAAGATACACATAATTTATGCAGAAAGATACACATTGAACAAATATATAATTCTGTTTCATACATGCCAATTTTCCCGATTTTTGGGGGTGTCTACTGATTTTGAACCAAGTGTCTGCTGCTTGAGCATTGAGCTCACGTAATGATACCCCTGCCTCCCATATGAATATAATAGCAGTGTCCATTTTTGCTATGGAAAACCCAAAATATGTTTCAGATCAAGAAGTAAAATAGGAGGTTCACAATGGCAATATGTAATCAAGATTCTGTGAAGACTTTATTCAGTGGTATGAGAGGTGTTGCAGAGAAAAGAAGGGTACCCCCAAAGTGCAACAGACAGATGGATGGACGGACATACCGATTACTATATACCCTCTAGCTTTTCAAGCTGGGTATAATTAGAGTAAAACAATCAATATTTAGCAGTAAAAAATGCTTCCTTCTTAGACATGTTAGAAAACCAGAAGTCTCTGTCGAGACTGTAGCTCTACTGGTTTGTACTTAAAACAAAGGATGAGAAAAGCGTTTTAAAGAATTTCACAGACATTTCTATTTTTAATAACCATGGCAACACAGTTCATCGAAATCAAAAACCGATGCACTAATTTATGTATCTTAATGTAGTCTACTTGTGTGCCAATTTATATTGAAATCAGATCAAAACTGTAGGAGGAGTAGCATTTTAAAGGAATTTCACAGAAAATTTTATTTTTAGTAACCATGGCAACACTGTTCATCAAAATCAAAAACCGATGCAAAAATTTATGAATCTTAGTGTAATCTACTTGTGTGCCAAGTAACATTGAAATCAGACCAAAACTGTAGGAGGAGTAGCATTTTGAAGAAATTTTACAGAAAATTCTATTTTTAGTAACCATGGCAACACTGTTCATCGAAATCAAACACCGATATGAAGAATTTTCTATTTAAAATTATCTACTTGTGTACCAAGTAATATTGAAATCAGACCAAAACTGTAGAAGTAGTAGCATTTTAAAAGAATTTCACAGAAAATTCTATTTTTAGTAACCATGGCAACACTGTTCATCGAAATCAAAAACAAATGCACTAATTTATGTATCTTTAGTTAGTGTAGTATACTCGTGTGCCAAGTTATATTAAAATCAGACCAAAACTGTAAGAGGAGTAGTGTTATGAAATTGTTTACAGACAGACGGACACCTTACTATCGCATAAGCTCTTCTGGTCTCTGACCAGTAGAGCTAAAAATAGTCCTGAGCTATAAATATAGTATTACATGTATAATCAAAACTTTCCCAATTCATTCATCATACACGGAGTGATTCTCACTCCTCCATGGCATCTGATCCCACCTCCAATGTTTTGGAGGTCTGTGTTTTCTCTGCTCCTATTTTGTATTGTTTTATGGACTTTTGCTCTTGAATACTGTTTGTTATCTCCATGTTTCATTTCCCAAAGTAAACAATTACCTTTTAACTTAAAAACAAAGATTGGAAAAAATTGTTTTCTGTAAAATGCATTGCTTACTCTATAACATTTTTCCCCTGTATTAACAAACTAAATTTATCAATCATATTCATTCTGGAATTTAAAAGTACAGGTTTATACATATCTGGGTTAGCAGGACATTTAAATCTATATTTATCTCCAACCAGGAAGTAAATTACAGATCTCGTCCAAGTCTCGACTAAAATCTCGCTCTGACATTCCAAACTTTGTTAGCAGATGTATACATTTAGAGGTCATTTGCTTTAAAAGTCTTAAGTATTGGGTTGCCTGCAGACAGGAAATTTTAAATTTTTCTCAAAAAGGATTTTTTTTTCATGAGGTACAAATTCTCTTACATAATATGATTTAATACTGTACAATAGAGTAGTTTTGAATATTTATTCCATTATGGGGGCATTCCTCTTTAGTCTGTAATTACAGCCAGACAACATTATTGTAGTTCAGCTTTAACAATTAAATTGAAGATGTAAAACTGTTGCATTTCTCAGACCCATATGCATGTAACAAACTTTTAAATGTTAATTTCAGATGGCACATTCCAAACCAAAAATACCAGGCACTGCCCAACACTTTCTAGAGTGTGGTTTTGAAGATTGTGAGAGAAATTGTGAATTTTACTGCAATTCCTGCCATCAACAGATGTGTAAACCATGCAGAGACCAACATTTAAAGATTCCAGAAAACAAAAACCATGAAGTGGTCATTTACCAGCTACGAAGACGACAACTTCCTGTGAAGAAATGCAAGATCCACCCCACTAAAGAAGTAGATATTTACTGCAAAGACTGCAATATACCTTTATGTTCAAAGTGTTCAACAATGCAAGAGCACCAGAGACATTGTTTTATTGATTTAGAATCTATTTACACAGAGAAATTTACTCTTTGCCAAATGGAACTCCATAAAATCTATAATTACTTTGTCCCTACGTCACAGGATTTACAGAGAGAAGTTCAAGAAGATGCCACAAGAGTTAAACAGATCATGGACAGCATACGTACATCCATGAAGGTTGAAGCCGAGTCTCTCAAAAACATGGTGGACACAGTGCTCTCAGACAATATGGAAGAATTAAACCAAATAGAGAAGTCATTACTGGAGAAATTAAAGAGCCAAGAGAAGACATTTGATGATTATATTGCCTATCTCAGTGACCTTGTTAAAGAGTTCCAGAGTTACCTGTCCTCTACTGAGCTCTCTAACTTCACAACTCAACTTCCACACAACTTAAAAATAAAATCCATACCAGAAACCACCAAACCTGTCACACCAGAATTTTCTTCTGCTCAATACAGGAAAAATGATGTTGCTAGATTATTAGGGAAAGTAGTTAAATCAGATAGAAATGCAGAACTAAGAAGAGTAAAGTCAATGGAAATTTTTCCTATTGCTGCATCAATGAAATCTACAAGTGAACAGACAAAACAGGATAAAGACGTGAAATCTGACAAGAAACAAACAATGTCTCTATCTGCCTCTGTCACCAAGGTCAGGGAGTTCAAAGTACCAGGTGTTGATCATGTATACCATGTATCACTAGATCAATCAGACAGACTCTGGATCAGTGACTATTGGGGTAATCTTGTCCAAACAGATCTACAGGGGAATGTGATACAGAAGATAAAAACCAGTGGTAGAGATCAAGGTTACCACACAGTCACACAGGACAGGAATCTGATCTTTACAGACCAAGACAAGAAAGTCATCAATAGGATAACACAGGATGATAATATCACTGAATTCATTAAAACTGGAGACTGGACACCATTCAGCGTACACTCCTCCCACATCAACGGGGACTTACTGGTGGGGATGAGGAAGGATAGAGAGGGTAAAGTCACCAGGTACAACAAGACAGGAAAAGAACTACAGAACATACAGAGTAATAACAAAGGACAGGGACTGTATAGATATCCACACTACATCACGGAAAACATCAATGGAGATATCTGTACATCTGACTATAATAAAGATGTCGTAGTGGTGGTGAATAAATCAGGACAACACAGGTTCTCCTACACAGGTCAGGAGTCAAGGTTCGTTCCCTATGGAATCTGTACTGATGTCCTCGGTCATATCCTGGTGTGTGATGTTTCCACTGACACTGTTCACCTCCTTGATCAGGATGGACAGTTCTTGTCTCTATTATTCACACGACAACAAGGGGTAAAGTTTTCCTGTAGTGTGTGTGTGGATGATGAGAATAATCTCTATGTAGGACAATATAACACAAACACACTGACAGTGTACAAATATCTACAGTGATTATAATTCTGTCAGTTCAGTATAGACTGAATAGAATATTTAATTTAAATTTGTGAATTCCAGGAAAGAAATAATTATACTGAATAGTGTACCCTTCAATAAACATTATACTAAATAAATTGCACAGTACTATTACATGTAATTGATTTCAATGGTAAACATGTCATGAACACTTTTTTGGATTCCCAATTAAAAGATATCTGTCATTTTTACTATGTGGTGAATGGTGAAAATGATTATGAAGTAAAATAATCTACAATAAAACATGGTTATAGTGAAATGCTTGTAATTACATGTAATTCCTGCTAACAATACCTATGCTTTTAAAACATATTGTAAACTTGAAGAATATATAATGAATTAAAATTGCACATCCCTGGAACTTCACTTTCAGCTTATTTTACTGTATACTGATAGTACAAGTATTAAATTACCGTATAACTGGATTTTTCTACGGGGTGCTATTTTTGCGAAATTCTGCGATCAAGTCTTAATTGCAAAAAATTCAATCGCAAAAAATACGTCATAAAATATCCCCATAAAATTTCCCTTTTGAGGCCTCTTCATAGAGTCCGAATTCACGCTTTGTTGCGTAATACAGGCCTATCGATAATTGGTCAGTGAATACCCCGTAGTGAGCAGTCACTTCACGCTTTGCCAGCAAAATGGCACTGTTGAAATATTTGAAGCCAATAAGTAAGTTTCCTGACCCTACCGGACCTTTAAGTGAATTAATGTCGCCTAGAAAAATTACCGAGTGTAATGAGAAAGTGGCCGAAGTTCTTGATACACCAAAAACTTCGAGAGGAAAGTACATGACTTTTTCACCGAGCGAGAGAGCTGAGATAGGACACTACGCCAGTGTACATGGACCTTCATCGACCATTAAACGTTTTCAGACAAAGTTTCCAGGACTACGTGAAAGTACTGTCAGAAATTTACGTGATAAATACAACACGGAGCTCAAATCTCGAAAACGTAAACTTGATTTTTCAGACGGCGAGAACTGTGAAATTTCTGAATTGAATCCGTGCAAGCGGGGTAAAAAAGTTTTACTCGGTAACGAACTGGACTCCGATGTGCAAACTTACATTCGTTCATTAAGAAAATCGGGGGCTGTTATTAACACAGCAATCTGCATTGCCGTTGCGGAGGGTATTGTGCGTGCCCACGACGAGCAGCTACTATCTTGTAATGGTGGACCGATTACGCTGAAAAAAAGCTGGGCCCAGTCAGTGTTGATTAGGATGAATATGGTTAAGCGAAGGGGCAGTTGCACGGCAAAAATTCAGTTCACTGATGACAAATTTTCTGAAATTAGAGACGAGTTTTTACAAAGAATAAACAGTGTGGTGAAAAAACATGACATTCCTCCCGAGTTAATATACAACTGGGACCATACCGGTATCAATTATGTACCTGTTAGCTCATGGACAATGGAGGTGGAGGGCACCCAGCGAGTCCCCATAATTGGTCTTGATGACAAAAGACAAGTCACCGTTGTTTTCGCAGGTAATGTAGATAATTATCAATCTTACCAAGGTATTATTTTGCTTGTAGTATCAATTAAGGAAAAAAAAACAGAACAAAATTAACTGTACTGATATCTTCTAATTCATTTTTAAATTATTTTAGGCACATTGAGTGGGGATTTTCTAGCTCCACAAGTCATTTACCAGGGGAAAACTTCTGCTTGTCATCCTGAGTATGATTTTCCACTGGCTTGGAACATAACTCACAGTCATAATCATTGGGCCAATACAGACACACAGATGGAATACACATTGCGAGTTCTAGTACCTCACATGGATAAAACCAAGAAAAAGCTTGGGCTACCTAACACTCAAAAGTCACTGTGTATTTTCGATGTTTTCCGAGCGCAGATGTCGAGAGAGTTCGTGGATGATTTGAAAACAAAGAATATTGAAATTGTTTATATACCACCAAGCACGACGGACAAGTTACAGCCCATGGATCTTTCCATTCAAAAAGTCGTGAAAGACAAAATGAAACAGCGCTTTCAGCGATGGTATGCATCCTGTATTTCAAAGCAACTTGACAAAGGTGTCGACATAGAAACACTGAAACCTGTTGACCTCCGTCTATCTATTCTAAGACCGCTTGGTGCTAAATGGCTGGTAGAAACTTACAAAGACATAAGAAGCCAACCAGAGATGGTGATTAAGGGGTTCGAAAAAGCAGGCATCGCTGAAGTGTGCAGAAAATCTTAATTCAAAAGCTACTCTCTAACAGATTGTGAATGTTATTTAACACTGTGATTGTGTAATAGTTTTAATGTATTTATTGTATTTTAATAGAAATATTTTGATGAAATTTTCTGAAATGTATTTTAATATTTTTAACCATTTAAAAAAAAAACTGTTATGTGTTTTATGTATTTTAATGTGAATATTTTTATGACATGTAATATTTTAAATTGCTTTAGTTTGTTCAATAAAAAAAAATAGACTTTATTGTTTAAATGTCTAGTAATAAAATTCAATAAATTTAAAATGGACTTTATTGTCAAAGTGAAATCGCAAAAATTAAAATCGCAAAAAATAAATATACCTATTTCAGGATCAAATCGCAAAAATTTGCACCCGCATTAAAAACCAGTTATACGGTATCATTCCCATGATAAAGGTATACTCTCCTTGGCAAATTATTCAATTTACTGTGGATAAAATATTTCCACAAAGGAAGTAATCAATGAAGAAGGCAGCATTAACGAAAGGAATCATTTGGAAACCAGTTTATATCAAACAATGGACTTGACTGGAAACGCTATTTACATGCAATATGACTATTTGACTGAGTTTTTACAGATAGCTACCTTCCAAGCCTGAGTGTGTGGCCATCTTAAGGTCAATGCTGGAGTCCAGTTCATTACAGACAATCAGGGCTGATCTGACCGTTATCAATTTACGAGCTTTTCCTTCCTGTTTGACATCAAACACAAGTCTCGCTTGCTTCTGAATGGATGGGTCATGTTTAGAACTGTATGTTAACTGAAAAAATAAGAACAAATCAGCTTTTAGAAAAAAAGTAGAGCTTAAAAAAATGATACTACCACTGCAATTTTGAAATTGTCCATTTAATTTTTGTAAATGTATGTGACCTTGAACTTGTTAAAATAAGGTGACCTTGATTTAAAATTGACACGTCAAAAGTTTATATATACCCCAGCTAATCCTTTGGCCTGCGAGACATCAGGTTCTGAAGTACACCCCCACACGATCCACCGACACATTGGACAGCTTCATCCACCCATCCACCTTCACAACCAGCTGATTGATGCTCAACTCATGGGTTTTCTAAACAGATAAGTCATAATTCAGATTTTTTAAAAATGCTTTATCTTAAGAGAAGGTTTGGTTATGAAGGCTATACAGCTATATACTCATAAGAAAGTGAAGATGCTAAAGCATTCACCTCATGGCGATTTTTCTCCTTGTTGTGGAAGAAGAATGGCATTTTTTCCCCTGATTCCACTTTTTTCCACTCTGAAGCCTTTATGTAGTGGTTATCCTTATCACCTTTCCTTCTGCCTGACCTGAAAATTAACTATCATCTTGAAAAAGTCAGAGCAGGGAATAGCAATTCAGAAGACTTAGTTGTGTTATACATTTATTTACTAATCCTAATGAAGAAGGATATGGAGATAACGAACAGTATTCAATCTCAAATTCTGAATATGAAAACAACCTTTCCTCTCATTATAGGAAGAAAACGTCAAGCTTGATACATCATAAATAGATCATTTTGTTTTCTTTGTTTTTGAATTTAATTAAGATTTCAATTGTTTCTGAGGCTTTAGGAATATTTCAATTTTATTTGATCTGAGTTCTCCCCAAATTGCAAGAGAAACAATAATTCTGATTGGTCAGTGCTGTGTACCTTGGAGTGGTGGTGACTGTGGTGAACCAGAGAGTACAACCCGTTTCATTGGACAACATAAAGGGAACAAACGGAACTCTCCTCCTCTGACAGCTCACAGCAGTACGGCTAGCCTGGTGGGGCTGGTTCTGGGAATTTGCTGGGCTGAAAAGAGCAATGCATTAGGCCATCAAGAAAAATCCATAAAAGAAAAGTTGCCAAAAAGTTACGGCTTCATAATTATATACTGTTCTTCCTGATTGGTGTAGAGCTAACAGTAGAGTCTGGTTATTTCCATTCATATCTAAATTTTTTCTGAATTCTTATAATATATTATAGCCTAAAGGTTTCCAAAAGAAAAAGCATATAAGAAATATTTGGCTAAAAAAGATTTATCAGTACTGATGGTAAACTTACACAATTTGTTTATATTAGTCTTGTGTTTATGTCAATAAATGTTAATGTGTACAGATGGTAAACTTTAGTCTGGTTGTAAAGCTCCTGCAGTGTACTGGTGATGTTCAGATTCAACACCTCTTGAACTGAAAAAACAAATTAAAAGCAAAATAATCAGAACTGTATCATATGAGGGTCAAAATTTTCTTAAAAATAGAATAATTTGCATTTTTGAAAAAGTCAACTGAGTTTATATACCGGCGTAAATGCCACAAATATACATTTTACTTCATTGATCTTGTGTCATTTTGCTGTACATCAGAGACAGGGCAAGAACTTTTAGACTACATGAGTATGTTCTTGTGCATTGTTAATATACCATCAAGTGGAAATTTTAGCAAAATGCAAATCTTGCAATTTTTCCTTAAAAATTAGTAATTTTCAATTTATAAAGAGAAGTAATTTTGGTGAATTTGATAGGCTCACTAAAGAAATGATTGCAAATAAAACAATTATTTTTTAACGAAAACTTCAATTTAGCAATGTCAGCACTCTCGCTAATAATGCCAAAATTAAATCCTTGTCAAAACTTCTGCTTATATGGTATCATGTAAATATGTACTTATATTATCTACATTCAAAAGAAAAAAATGACACTACTGACTAACATTGTATGTATGTTTCATCAGAAATGAAATTGTTAAGAATTTTTACTATTGATTTGAATGGCTGTTTTCTTCTCCATATTTTGATACTACTGTTTCCATTCACATCGACATCTGTAATTAACAAGAGGCCCACAGGCCTTATAGGTCACCTGAGTATTGTGTAACAACTTTCAAACAATTAACTTTGGTTCATGTTTTAAACCAGAGGCCATGAAATTCACAATTTTGAAAGAGGCACCATTGCTTATCATAATTATAAACTTAGCATGCTTACTCTATTTACTTAATACCCAGAGGTACATCAGAGTAACAAAGAGAAAATGCACTTCCACTATATAACCAGTTTTGCACCTCATTCCAAAGGAACCACTGGCCCTGGGGCCACATACCTGGTATTTCAAAATTTTGCACTATGTACCCCCCCCCCCCACTCCCGACCCAGAGGGCATAAAAAATAACCATTTGCTAGATGTACCTTTCTTCATCATAAATATACATGTATATACTTGGATCATTGGCATAAAACCCAGGAGCAAAGGAAAAGATTTTCAAAGAATTTATGTAATTTCACTATATAATCAGAGCCCCGCCCTAACAACAGAACCCCTGACTCTGGGGCCATAGAATTCACAAATTTGGAAGAGGCACTCTTGCTTATCATAACTATGTACTTAGTTTGCTCATTTAATACCCAGAAGCAGAGAAGAAGATTTTCAAAGAATAAAATGCATTTTCATTATATAATCAATAAAGCCCTACCCTAACACCAGATCCCCTGACCCTGGGGCCATAAAATTCAAAATTTTGGAAGAGGCACTCTTGCTCATAATAACTATGTACCTAGTTCATTTATTTAATACCCAGAAGCAGAGAAGATGATTTTTGAAGAACCAAAAAAATTCACAATCTTGGTAAAGGCACTCTTGGTCATCATAACTATGAACTAAGTTACTGTGGAATCATCATTGTTCGTGGGGGACCAATGTTCGTGGCTTTCGTGGGTAACCCTGACCCACAAATTTACATCCCCACGAACGTATATACAAACATGTTTTTATTCTTTGTTAAAACTGATATCGTAAAATAACCGTAACCCTTGTGTCCGTGTGATCGCGCTCAAAGAAGACCGTGAATCTGTACATGTATGTGGTTATTGACACAAAACCAAAATAAAAAAAAAAAAAAGTATTTAGTATTTAGTATCAAAGACATCGTTAACTATATACAATAAGTAATAAAATGATAAATATATATGTTAAATTTATGATAAGTAGTGTTTACATTATAGTCCAACACGCTCAAATGCCCCTTCAATTGATGAGGTCAAGTTTCAGTGCGATTTTGGGGTGGGTGTTAATTAGCCAATTAGCATGAATTGGTTTAGAGATTTAAAAACATGTTCCGTGTACCACTGGTGTTCTTAATTATCATAATTTACTGTGACATCACGGCTGTAATTTGTCGGTGGAAGCCGCGGGTACGTTTTTGTAACATAAATAACCAACATTAACAGAGTTACCCTTCTTTGTTTTTACTTTGGAGAAAAAAAATGAAATAGAACTTGTTACCAACGAAATTACGTCCCCACGAACCAGGAAATTTTTGGCTACCCACGAACATTGACCCCACGAATAAAAATGATTCCACAGTAGTCTATTTAATACCCAGAAGCAGAGAAGAAGATTTCCAAAGAAATAATGCATTTTCACTATATAATCAATAGAGCCCCGCCCTAATACCACAACCCCTGACCCTGGGGCCATAAAATTCACAAGTTTGGAAGAGGCACTATTGCTTATCATAACTATGTACTTATTTGGTTTTTTTAATACCCAGGAGCAGAGAAGAAGATTTTCAAAGAAATAATGCATTTTCACTTATATAATCTATATAGCCCCACCCTAGTACTAGAACCCCTGACCCTGGGGCCGTGAATTTCACAATTTTGGTAAAGGACTCAATGCTCATTACAATCATGCCAAGAGTTGGATTGCTTGATGTTTTGGAGTAAAAAAGATTTTTAAAGATTGCACTAATTTTAGTGGTTTTGGCCCAACCCCTCAGGTCCCAGGGGGACCATGAAATTCACAATTTTTGTTCCCCTTCACCAATAGATGTTTTATGCAAAAATTGGTTTAAATTGGTTGAGCGGTTGCAGAGAAGAAGCTGAAAATGTTCAAATATTAACACACGGCGACGCACACCGCACGACGACAGATGAAAACGGATAGCAATAGATCACCTGAGTTTACTCAGGTGACCTAATAAAGAAAGAAATTAATAACTAAAGTTGAATATAAACAAAGCAAGACTGCACAATAAAAGTGTAAAAGCACTTAATGGTTAAAATTATTTGAAAAAACAGTTTGAGGACAAACATTTTACAATCATGTTTTCTTCTAGTCTATGCCTAGAAGACAAAATAGCCAACCCAACCATTTGGGAATGTTTTGCTTTTAAAATTACACTAGCTGACATTAATTTAAGTATCGAGATTAACCACAGCTAATTGATTACACACTTACTTCCACTGTTCCAAAAACGGCTCCCATCCCGACAGTTTCCTGTTGTAGTAGTCACCCATCAAAATAAAAGATCCGCTCTCCTCTTGTCTTGGGAGAAACTGCTGGGAGATTTCTGCCAGTGGCACATCGGAGTCCCCACAATCATCTATCAATCAAACGCACACAGAAGATGACTTTATCTGAAATGGGAAGAAAAATAACAGGATCCTCACATTGATCATGGATTAACTGTGAAATTTCATTTAATGGGGATGCTGGTATATAAACTTGACTTTTCTAAATATTGCACTTGTTGTACAAATTTCAATTTAAATCTTTTTCTCCAAATGAAAGCTTCTACATGTGTTTTGCCACTTCAAGAATGTGGGAATTCAGGTTTCTATAGACCTAGTGCTAGTACATGACAGTTATTGTACTCCTAGATAATACTTCAGAAAATGTGAGCAGATTTACCATCAACACACAATAAATGAAAACAGCCATATCTAGTCCATTTCTTCACAGCATTTAGTTTTAACCATGTGTACTTGGCTTTTCACAAGAAACAAACCAGAGATTAGTAACTTTAGCATTTTTATTAAAAGAACCATGATCCACCCCTGACACTAACCTCCATCCCCGTGATATGAAGTCCCCCCTCTTGTGACCGGCCCCTCTCCTCCGGTACTGCGTTCTCAGTCAGCCAGACTGCCGCCTCCATTAAATTCCTCTTCTTCAGATCTAGAGCTTTCTTACAATCCTCCATACTGAAGCCCATATCACTGAGACTGCTTATCTTGTCAGCTGATTATGTACCAAAAAAAAAATAAAGTGAAAGTACTTAACGACGTTCGATCCTGATATTTAAAGTCTTAAACTTTTTTTGTCAAGTATATTTTTAGTTTCTACATACGTAGCTTAATTAAAATTCAAATCAAAAAATGGGGGTCAATATGTTTCTTTTAGCGCTACAGTACATTTAATATGACCTTTCTGCACTGAAATTTGTGTCTTAATTAAAAATAACATCTTCGACTTTTTCCCTCCAATATTTTTATCTAATTAAAGCATGAAACAAAATGAACTCTAAGTCTGTTTAAAAAAAGACACTTAAAAATTGTGACTAAGAAAAAGTTTCAAATTGCTTCGCATAATCAATTATTTGACCTTTCTGCACTAATAAAATGTTATTTTTCCGGCATTGAAAATATAATAAGCAAAAAAATTATTTTAAAGTCTTAAACTTTTTCTGATTTTAAGCAAATAGGTCAAAGTTATCTTGAATATTTAGAAAAGGACATCAAAAGTGGGGGTATATGATGTATGTTTTCCGATATTACTAAAAAAGTGTGAATTTTAAGTTAAAATTGGCTCAATTTTTTCCCGGATTTTCAGAATATATTTACTATATTTGTCACACTTTACTGATAAAATTCATAAGAAATAATCTAATAGATATTTCAGAACCAGCATAACATATTTCACTGCAAAAAACAGCTTTGTGTGCAACCAGCATGGAAAAATAGGCATCCAAAATTAACAGTACTGTTATAGTTCAAATAGAAAAAACTTACCATTTTCGTCTAAAAAA